ATTCTACTACGTGTATTAGCATCACATCATCTAATCCTGCTGATATAAAAAAATCTTTCTAGGAATGAATACTGACTGTACGCCACTCTTAAACAATGCACATTCGTATCTGCAAAGTTCAGCAGTAGAACTACCAGGTATTGCAGCACAGAAACAGAGTAGCAAACATTCCCTGAAGTTTAAAAACAAAGCTGTATGATTCTAGTGTGAACCAGTTTCATCTTGCCCTAACACCCTTAAAGTACTTTTAATACCAATGAAGCTGAGAACAATGATCAAACAGAGACACACAATCTGCCTTTCCCATTTCAATTTCTTTTCCTTACCATAATATTATTCAGGAGTATTGTGAAAGTGTGAGAACAGCTTTCCTAATTGAAAGTAACTCCTGAATGAGAAATAAAGCACAGCACTCCACTGCAATCTGGATAAGCTAATAGTGATCTGGTTCTTATCCTATTTAATTTACTTGCTAACTTTTGTCTATATAATGCAGGGCTGCATGAAGTGTGTCCCCAAGATAAAATACTAAAACTGGTCACCTACAACCCTATAATCACTTATGTTTACTTAACATATTTCCAATCAGTTACTTCTGTTTGTTGAAACTAACACTGAAATGTTCTTGGCAGTTGTAGGAATAAAGTATAAACTGTTTACACAAAATTGTTGGTTCTGCGTGGGTGTTTACTAAGCCTTGGATCACATCTAAAACTTAAAATCCAAATTTCAATTAATTTATGTCCATCTCAAATTGTTGGTAACTATTAAATTGTGGTGTTCTGTTTTAGGATTTATCACCTAGTTCTGCTGGATAACTGGATGAAGAACTAACTCTGTCCAAACCTGCAAACAGAATAAAATCAGTGCACAAGAAATGCAATCACATCAATGGATGAGTTACCTGGCTACACTGCCAGGGATTGAGAACTGCTATTTGAGCAGAGTCAGTTTTGAAATCAATCTAAATTACTTCTGAAGCTCTGACATTCCTAGCTGACTTAGAACTGAGTTAGGGGTTATTTAGATTTTGAAATGCTTCTGTTGTTTTCACTGCTATCCATATGTTGAATTAACAGCAAAAGACTTTCAGATTCCTAAAAATTTCTGTACTGTACTGTAGATTTACAGTAGTTTTCACTATTCCCTTCTAGACCCTTTCCATGTCTAGTAATCAACAGCCTACTAGTGAAGAGCTCAGTTCTAAAAGATATATTTTAATCATCTTGGTCAGACATGTTATGACACATTTAGCAGCATCTGTGAAGAAAAAAAAATCAGATGTTAACATTTTGGGTCCGGTGACCCTTCCTTAAAACTGGTGGTAACTGGGAAAATGTTGGTTTATACACAGAAAATAAGGAGGGGATTGGGGTAGGGAGTAAATGATAGGATAGAGCCCGAAGAGAGAGAAGAGCAGTTGGATAGACAGTTGATAACGATCTGGCTAGGAGGGTGAATAGTTATTAACAGGGACTGTTAGTGACTAACGATAGGTAGTGTGTGATGGCAGGCTATGAGATAACAAGGCCTGTTGTGTGGGGTAGCGGGCTAGGACATTGGAGAGTTCAGGCCCTAAAATTATTGAACTGGATATTGAGTCTGGAGGGCTGCAGGGTCCCCAAGCGGAAAATGAGGTGTTTTTCTTCCACCTTATGTTGAGCTTAGCTTGAACACTGCAGCATGCCAGAGACAGAGATGTTGGCCAGGGAACAGGGTGGTGTGTTAAAGTGGCAGGCAACAGGTAGCTCAGGGTCTTTTTTGCGAGCAGAACATAGAAGCGGTCACCCAGTCTATGCTTCATTTCCCCAGTGTAGAGGAGACCACATTGTGAGCAGTGAATGCAGCAGACTGGATTCTGGGAATTGCAGGTGAAGTTTTGCTTCACTTTGGATAGTTGGCAGGGACCATCAGTTCTGAGGATATGACACATCTCTGGGAGCAGGTGGAACTTGAATCCAGAAATTCTAAAACTCAGCTCTTAAATACAAAAGTCCAATGAGAGCATCAGCGCTCTCAATCAGCTCTGGATTTGATCTATTTGTGCCTTGTGCTCAGCTGAAATAGATCAGTTTGGAGTGCATTAGTCTGGAGATCTAAACGTCCTTGGCTCAGTCTGCATTTCAGTAATTAACCGGTTGTACATGGATGTACACTGCATGCGCTCCATCACTTGTGCAATAACATACAAGTTATTTTTCTATATGCATTCCAACAAATTGCACAATGTCTTAGTGTATGAAATGCACAGATGTTTGTTTGAGATGAGTTCTAAATATTTCAACTTCTACTCAAACGTAAACTTTATATTCTTGTACATTTATGTTCATATTTAAAAGAAAATTGTTTCTCACTAATCCCCATAAACCAATGGCTAAAATTTGACTTGCTTCTTGGTAAATATGAAGTGAGAGAGGCTTTAAAGAAAACTGTTTGTCCCTCAATGGGACCTGCATTTCTAACATTTTATGCCTAGCTGATCTATGAGATTAACGTAATTTGTTGTATTATCAACTTGAGTCTGTATTCTTTGGTATTTTTAAAAATGCCTCTTTTGACAGGTTTTTTAAAATTAATTAAGGAGCTTGATCATTTTTCTCAAGTTGTATTATATTGAATTCTGAACTTACCATCATTGGTCAGAGCATTGAGTGCATGAGTTGGGATGTCGTGGAACAACTGTACAAGACATTGCTACAAGGATGTGGATAGGAAAGGTTTAGAGAGATATGGGACTAGTTCAGTTTAGGAAACCTGGTTGGCATGGATGAGTTGGGCTGAAGGACCTGTTTCCGTCCTGTACGACTCTACAAATAAGCATAATAAATTGCTTTGAAATATGGCAGCTTATATTAACACAATTTTAGCAAAATTGTGTTTGATTTTATAAAGCTGTATTTCTGTAGTTTTAGAATACACTTGCTATTTTAGATACTGTTTTGTAAGAAGGAAGGTCGTCTACAAACTTTTGGACAAGGGCGCATTGCGTTCTGTATTAGGTTTGATCAATGTCCACATGCATAAGTGAAATATCCTCTTATTATCTCACCTGCCAAAGCTATCTGCTGAATGTGTACCTTTTTTCCACCTTTTTCAGATTTCCAAAAACTTTGCTGTTTGTTTTGACATATACAAGGTTAGGATATTTCATGACCAGACAGTGGAATTTAGAAGTAAGTCTTGATCCCTATCAGTGTTAGACTGACAGATCTTGAAAGGCTCTGATTGTTTTCTTCACTTGAAGTTAAATAATCAGATCCTTCTCCTGATTATGCCGGACAGAAGTTATACTTAAATCAGTGCCACTAAAAAAGCTACAAGACCTGTTATCACTTACGTTTGAGATGTTTCTGTGTACAAAAGATGCAACTGCTCAGCTACAGAAAGAAATTCGTGGATTTTGCAGTACTATGTATGTGACATTGGTATGTAAATACTTGTTTCTTTGAGATGTGATGTGTAATGACATCTCTAAGTTATCAAATTAAGTCTATCCTATTCCCCTTATTGCTTGAGAAAACCTACTCCTGCAGCTGTCAATTCTTAGTTATATTCTTTTATATTTGTATTAACTAAATGATGAGAATGTGGAACTTTCCACACACTGGTGTGAAGCACCCATTTAATGAATTTTCATTTTCTAATGGCTTTCCCGAAATTATCTGTATCCGGTTTATCTCTGCCTGCTCCTGTGATGAATAGTGCTCTCTACTCTATCAACTTGACGTAGGGGAACAGAAGAAATCAAGTTACACTTACAGCAAACATACATTTGATAGCTGAATTAACCAAAAAGTGTTCATAGTTGCCATTGCAAAGCTCCTGACTCTCTTCCTTCTGTGCATCTGCCCTCTGATGTAATCACCTGGGCCCTTCAGGTTAAACAAAACTTTTCATGCTTGTAGAATGCAGCTTGCTGCAGGAAATGTGACTTGTTCGTTAGTGACCCAATGCAGTTTTCCTTGAGGATTTGTTCTTTTTAAAATTTACTTTTGGAAAGAACCTTGCTCACAAGATCAGGATTAATGTACCATTTCCATTCAGTCTTGCGAAGGTGATGGTGAGGTATCATTTTGAGCCATTGTAGTCCATGTGACTTAGGCACATCCATAATCCTGTTAGGAAGGGAGCTTGGAGCTTTTGATCCAGCAGCAGTGGAGGAATGGCAGTTACAAGTCAAGATGCTGTGTGACTTGGAGGAAAACTTAAAAATGGTGCATTTCTATATTTTTGTTGCACTTGTTCTCGGTGCTAGAGATTGGCAGTGCAGTTGTTGAAGGAAGTTGAAGTTCATTTTGTAGATAATACATGTTTGCCACTGGGTGCTGGCATTGGAGGGAATGGATATTTATAATGTTGAATGGGCTGCTTTGGGTTAGGTTGTGTCAAGTTTCTCTTTCAATGCAATATATGCCTGACTCTGTCCTTTATGCAACTGCATTTAGATCTGCTCTTAGAGTTCAGTGTATTGTATTTTAGAGTCTGTTGCTCATTTTGGTTATCCTGAACTGCCTTTTAAATGACTTGCATCCTATTATTCTAATGTAATTTTGTAAAGTTTCAGCCTTTATAATATGGTTTTTCTTTCCCCCAACTGTGTTGAAATAAAATGAGAGCTTTTCAGCAGTCCAATTTTGCTGAAAAAGATTGTGTTCTAATTAGGCTTGCATTTCATTTTGAAATGAGCAGGAATTATCCAAACCAGATCTAAGAAGTGAATAGATCACCCATGGCCATAACACAAAGTAGATGCTCGACATCTGAAACGCTATGGGACTGACATTTATAGGACAATATTTAATTAAGCTTGGGTGTAACAGACTGGTGGTACCATTGCTCGCTTTAACCAATTTCATTACATCAAGCATTTTATAGCTGAAATTGTTCAGTGGGGTCATTATGTTTCCCATCTGTTCTGCTTTACATGTTTGTAATGTTATGGTATTTATCTTGTTGAACGTGTACAGTGTTTTTTATTTTTCTTTCTTTTCCCCCAATAGGTTGTGAACAATGCATCAGAGAAGACGTTTGCCAGTGCCACATTCAGTTCACTCCTTGATGTCTTTCTCTCCACCATAGTCTTCCTCTTTCTCTCCATCACATGTTTCATGAAGCAGGGATTGTGTACATCTCCTTCGCATGCCTCTGTTGTGGTTTTTGTCCTTGCGATTCTGCTTCAAGTGCTTTCGTTGGTTATCTCCATCAGGTGAGGCAAACATGCTGTATGGAGGGCTGTGTGCATTTGGGGTCCATGCTTCATGGAAAGGGCTGGCATAATGTTAATTCCCTCCATAAACCATTGTTTGTGTAAATGTCTTAATGCATTGACTCCAGCTCATACATTGGGTGCTTCTCACGAGTTGTTCGGCTTTAAATGTGCATCTTTGTTAAAAAGTTTGAGATGATAAAATGCAGATCAAGGAGACCTGTGTTACAAGTCTCACCCTTGTTGTGAATTTTATTGATGCAGCATTTTATTGCAACAGCTTGAGTGTTAATGCTTTTAAAATTCAAATTGTTTAATTAGTTAATTGAGCTTTAGATTTGAGTATTTACTTTAACTTCAAACTCTAATTAGATGTCTGAATTGCTGTATGATTGATGGAAGTTATGTTTCAGGATACTGAATTGGACTGTTGCATGTTTAGTTGTCTCTGGTTTAACGTTTCCAAGGAGGGTTATTGGTTGAGGCCTTGTCCTGAACTAACTATCCTAGTGGTTCATTGTTAAGTTATCCTATGCAACAGAATAACACAGTTGATCTCAGCATCCAGATGGTTGTTCTTCAGTTTGCACTGGAGTACCAAATTGAATTTTTAAACACTTCACCAGGTACCACATTGGATCTTTTTTGTTAAGGCCAGGAAGCCATGATGAAATGGTTTAAATCAGAAACATCATCTGCAAGTAAGCAGTTGATATATACTTGAATTTGGGTGGTTCTGTTGGAGGGCATATTTCATCACCATGATGAAAATGTCAGGACCATTTTCATTAATAACACGGAGAATTTCAGCACCACATCTCCTCCTCTGCCTGCCATTTCCCTCATTCTCCATATTGTATCATATTTGTATGTAAAGTCCTGAGATGAGGCAGTTGCACCATATATGGGTAAGAAATAGGAAACATCAACAAAACAAATCCCCTCAGCTTCTTGATATTGTTCACACTTCTGTGTGCTGACGTTTTTGGCAAAATTTCATCCTCTTGTAATCTTGAGGTGTCTTATAGTTGCACACAAAATAAAGCTTTAAATGATCTTATCACGCATCCATCATCCATGATGAATCTTAATGTGATTACATATGAGAGATCAGATCTTGGCAAGCTGTTGTGAAACAGCAAATTTTTCAGAGATCAGACTAAATAACTCAATAAATATTGGACATTTTGTGGATGTGCTGGATGTCAGCAGTTACCTTAACAAACTCTCTTGTAAAGAATTCAAGGTAGTGATGGACTAAAGTCACTAAACATTAAGATTCTAGATTAGCATAATTGCTCTGAACCTTAATCTCTAGGCCCCAGACTATTACTAACAATAATGTAAGCCATCCCCTGTAAGGTGACTAGTAATGATGCCACAGCTATTTACCTGCGAGTTGTTTATGGCTTATGGTTGCAGTAAGGTTGAATATACACTTCTGCAGTCTGTGCATTGAAATTCCGTTGCAGTACACCGCATTATTTCTAACATCAGTGAATTATTTATTAATTCTTTCTCTTCCATCTTTCCCAAACTTGAGCTAGCATTGATGTAAAATGTTTGCTTGTTTTGGGTGGCAAAGATCTGGAATTCTTGCAATGCAGCTTGTGTGTGTTACAGTGTTTGTATAGATTTCTTACATTTTACAGTATTTTGCCCTAATAGCTTCAGCAATAATATATTGAATTGCAAAGCAGGAGCAACATTTCAAAGTGATAAAACAAATTGATCTATTTCCAACTGACTATCCAGTTCCGGTTATTTGAGTTTCATCGTCAATTCTAGCCTTTATTGAAAAATAATATATAGCTCCATCTCCTGAAAATGATTGGTACTGCACACACAGACAGCAACATGAGATCAACTGCTGGAAGCAGAACAGCATACGCAGCATTTGTTGGTAGAACTAGATAGGATTAACAGTTCAGGTTGGTCTTTAATCTTTTGTGTAATCTTCAGAGATTTTTGTTTTTGCTAGATTACAGAATAATAACGTACAGGCAAAGTTTAGAGTTGGGTCCGGTTATTTGTAGTACCAAAGTTATTCTTTACTCTGTAGTTCCGTACCTACTTAGTTGTGGTAAATTGCAGCAACTTCATGAAATTATTTGGAACTGCTGATTTTAATTCTTAACTCTCCTGTTCTAACCTCAGCCCAATGTTTCATTGTAGAATGGCATTTTACCTGGATGATGTGATGCCATGCACCAAAAGACTGATGAAGGCAATCTCTGGTTGGCTGCCTCGTCACTTTTTCGGAGCCATTCTCATCTCTCTCCCTGCAGTTGCTGTGTTCTCCCAGTTCACATGTGAATTTAAAACCAATATAAATGTGAGTATCTTTGCATTATAGTGGGGAAGATAAATAAAACGAAGAATCATGATGCTGAAGACATGAAATGAGCAAAAACACATTGTTGGAGAAACTTGGTGGGTCCAGCAGCATCTGCTGAGAGAAAACAGCTAACATTTTTGAGTCCAATGACCCTCCTTCAGAACTTCAGATGCTGCCATACTTGAGTTTCTCTGGCAAATTAAGTGGTGAACCCTTTTTGACTAACATTCTTAATTCTAGTTGAATAAAATTGCTCATTTGGGATTTTAAGATTGCACAAAAAGAATGGTGGAAGCAGATTCAACAGTAACTTCTGAAACAGAGATCTGCAGGCAATGGGGATAGTGGGATTAATTGGTAGCCCGTTCAGAGACCGGCTGAATGGCCTCCACCTCTGTTATACATGACTTATGATCTTGATCATTATTATGCTCCGATTTCAGAGGGACTTTCAAATGAAGGCATTTTACGACATTATTTCAAACAAACCAAACCTATGTATGCCACTGAAATGAAAAACAAAATACTGCTGATGCTGGAGATCTGAAATAAAAACAGTCGAGGAAACTCAGTAGGTCAGATGACAGACATCTTATTCAAAACTCTAGAAGAATCATGTTGGACATTAAATGTTAACTCTGTTTCTCTGTCCATAGATGCTGCCAAATCTGCTGAGTTTCTCTAGTACTTTGTTTTTGTTTGTGCACGCCACTGATCCTTGCGAACCAGAAGCAGTTGGCCTGTATTTTATTAACGTGTGGCTCTTTAACTTTTTAACTTGTTATACGTATGACTCTTTCTGCAGGTTACCATGTTCTTCTGTTGTGCAATGATCATCACTTTTATTCACTACTGTAACTTCTGTCAGTTGAGCTCCTGGATGAGATTTTCTTTGGCTACAATAGTAGGCATATCGCTTCTCATCCTGCTGTATGTGACACTATGTCCTTCCATGTGAGTATTGTATCCTTTTTCACATTTGATGCAAGGCTGGATTCCTTCATAAATGTTGTTCACCACTCATGCTTTGACATCTGTTTGGTGATTAGACTTTATTTGCTTTTTTTTTAAATATAGAATTCTGTGAAATGGGTTTGAAGCAACACTATATCAGCTATACGATAGCAGGGATTGGGTTTATACCTAAATGCACTGTCCAGAAAAGAGCAAGGACAGAACACAGTATCTCCTCAGGCTGTTTTCAGAGAGACAGCAGTGACCATAGTATGCTTGAATTTTACATCCAGTTAGAATGGGACAAGAGTAGGTCCAGTTCTAGTATTTTAAACTTTAAATAAGGGAAACTATGTGGACATGCAGTTGATTCAGCTAAAGTGATCTGAGACACTGGGCTGGGAGATGGAATGTTACGGAAGCAGTGGCAGAATTTTAAGGGGGTATTGCAGTTGACTCAGAATAAGTGTTTATCTACTGAAAAGAAAAATATCAAGGAGTGGATCAATCACTAACAGTTATCTAAAGAAATTAAAGCACCAGAATTAAGGGATAAGTGTATAAATGAACAAAGGTGAGTGGCAAGTCAGATGATTGTCTTTCTTTATATTCTGAGCAAAGAACAACTCAAACATTCATCAGGAAGAAATCAAGTGAGAGAGGAAGTTAGCCATAAATGTAAAAACAGAGAGCAGGAGTTTCTGCAGGTATCTTCTGAAAAAGAGGAAAAGAGCAAACACAAGTGAATTTTAGTCTTGTAAAGAATGAGAATAGGGTGTTAATAATAGATAATAATGAAATCATGGATGAAATGAATGAATATTTTGCTTCAGTCTTCACTATAGAGAATATTAAAAAAAAAAAAAAAAATCCCCCAGTATAGCTATCATCAGGACATGGAAGCAAGAGAGGAACTTGGTGAATTACAATCACCAACGAAACAGTACTGTGTAAACAGACGGAGCTGTGGGCTGACGAGTCCTTGAGTCCTGATGGGTTTTATCCTAGACTCTTAAAAAGTGATGGCTAATGAGGTAGTAAATAGGTTGGCATTAATTTTCCAAAATTTTCTCCATTCTGGAAAGGTTCCATCAGACAGGAAAGTAGTAAATGTTACCCATCTATTCAAGAAAAGAGGGAGGCAGAAAAGATGAAACCAGGGTGACAGGGTGATGAATTAATCATTAGGGAGGTTACAGGTAGGTCCTTAGAAAAACTCATGGTAATTGGAAAGAGTTGGCATAGTTTTGTCAAAGATATGTTGTACTTAACTTGGAAGGAGTAAAATGTGCCATGGATAAAGGAGACCCCATTGACGTACTGTACTGGGATTCCCAGAAGGCTTGTGACAAGGTGCCACATAAAAGCTTTTTGCACGAAATAGACGTATGTGCCATCGTGGGTAACATACTAATGTGTTTAGAAGATTGGCTGGCAGGAAACTGTATGCGTAAATAAGTCTTTTTCAGATTCCCACAATGTGACAAGATGAGTTCCGCAGGGGTCTGTGCTGTGTTTCTTGTATCAATGCCTTAGATGGATGAGGGGATCAAAAGCATGTTAGCTTAATTTGCAGATGACAGAAAGACAGGTAAAAAAATACGTTGCGATGATGTAAGGAGGTTGCAGACTGAGGTTAAGTGAGTGGTCAGAAAATCTGCCTAAAGAAATAAAATATGGGGAAATGTAAAATTGTTCACTTTTTGGCAGAAAAAAAATCAGAGCATTACCGAAACAGTTGAACTGCAGAATTCCAAGTTGCACAGAGATCTAGGTATTTTTTGTGCATGAGTTATCAAAAGTATACAGGTACAGTCAGTAATCAAGTCAGCAAATGGAATGCTATTCTGTTTGAGACCATTCAACCCATCATGTGAAAGCCAGCTGAATAAACTAGCTGCCCATTCTAATTCCACTTTCCATAATCTGGTTCATAGCCTTGCAGATTAGTGTTTCAGGTCTAAATCCAGGTTCCTTTCAAATGAATTGAGTGTTTCTGCCTCACAGCAAACCATACAGTGAATTCTAGACACACTACCTTCTGGATTTAAAAAAAAACACTTTCCTCTTGCCCCCTCTACCTTTCTACCAATCACCTTAAATTCAGTCAGAAGTATACTCCTCAACCGTCATCCTCTGCTTCCTGCCACTCAGCCAATTGTGGATCCAATTAGCCAAATTTAATTAATCCCTTGGGCCCTAACTTTGCTATCAGTCTCCAATGTGGGACCTTCTCAAAAGCTTTGCTGAAGTACAACTAGACTACATCAAAAGCCATTGGCCTTATCTACACACCTGGTTTGAGCATTACGCATCTTGCTTTTATTTTGAGTACCTCACCAATGATGGAAAGGACCCATATGCCATCTTTACCTATCTATTAGGTATCTACTATTTACTGGCCCTGTCACTTTTAGGGACTTCTAGACATGCACTGTATGGTCTTCTGCTTTCTCTACCTCTCTCCGTACTCCAGTTTGTGTATTCCCTTGCTACGTTTGTCCCCCTCAATTGCATAACCACCTACATCTCCAGATTGATTTCCATTTGCCATTTTTCCACTCACTGAACCAAACCATTGATAACATCCTGCAGTTCACAGCCATCCTATTTGATATCAATTCCTAGCCATTTCTTAATCATAGCTCCCACATTTCAGGCTAAATCATTAATATCTACCACAAATGGCAAGGGATTCAACACTGATCCCTATGAGACACCGCTGGAAATGGCTTTCCATTTAGAAAAAACATCCATCAGCCATTACCATTCCATCCCTCCTCTCAGCTGTAATTGCATTATTGGTTAAAGAATCAATGCTCCACCTTTTTTTTTAATCACCACCTCTATTCTGTTTGAGGATGTTGAGCTGCCATCCTGATGATTATCACAAAGATAATGTGTTCTCAACTTGTTGGCTTTGTTTGCTGTACTCCTTGCATTATATGTAAAATATTTTGTTATAATGTTTTAAAACTGCTAAATTCCTTTTATATGCACTTTGTGACTCTTAGCACATAACATCTGCTTTCAATACTGCCTGCTGTTTCCTACTCTGAATCTGCCCATAGATTCCCAACCTTCTGCCAATCTTGTTTAAAGCCTCCACAACACTATTAGCGAATCTCTCTGCAAGGGTGTCATTTGATTGTAAACCATCTAAATCCTACCTTCTCCAATGCCCCAGAAACCTGCTGCCCTCCTTCCTGCACTATCTTTCCAGCCATATGGTCAATCTCCCAATTCGCCTATTTCTATGCTTCCCAATATATGGGACCAGGAGTAATCCTGAGACTACTGCTTTAGAAGTACTTCCTTCAAATCTTCTAGCTAGCTCCCTGAAATCTGCATTCAGGACCCCATCCCCATTTCTACCCAAGTCACTGGTACCAAGATCTCTGGCTGAGCACCTGCCCCAGCAGAATGCTTGCCACTGCTCTGCAACATCTTTTTTTTTTACCTTGGCACCAGGGAGGCATTACACCATCCTGGAGTGATGTCAAAAACTTCTCTGATCTCTGACTTTAAAATACCCTATTATTATTGCTCATTCATGTCTCTCTTGTCTCGCATGTGATGCACGTGAAGCTAAACCATCCATCGTGTCACCAACTTGCCATTACTCTCACCAGTATGCAAAATGGAACACCAAAAAACCAACAAAATATACTCGGGACTCTTGCATTGTCTACCTGGTGGTAGGCCTAGCGAACTGCCTGGTGGACATCTGTTCACTCACAGATACTTGACCACCTCCATAAACTCGCACTCCATTTGGACCTCTACCTCATGGATACATAAGTGACTGCAGCTGCTCCTCAAGTTTCAAAACCCAGAGCTCAAGCTTGTGCAGCTGGTGGCATTTTCTGCAGTTATGTTAGTCTGGTGCATGTGTTATGTCCGTGACTTCTCTCGCTGCAGGATGTATACTCCGGTGGCCTGAGCTGACCTGCAATCTTGTTATTTTAAGCATTATTTATTACAGTTGGAATAGTAGAAAATTTTTCAATACTTGTGAATTAGCTTTATCCCTGTAGTGAAAGAGGAGTGAACTACAGGACGCTGAAAATGTTAGGAGAAGAAAGCTCCCCACTTGATGCATGCGCATACTCCCACTCCTAACTCAATAAATTCCCATTTTACACTTTAAAACCAAGGCAATATCAATGGAAGCCTTTATTTAGACTTCCTGAAAACTAGAGGTTAAACAAACTGGATTAAACCAGCCCTTAACTAGCTGCAGTTTTTCTCAGTGCTTCTATTTCCCTGATTTAAGGTTGCAATAAAACTTAACTCCTCTTAACTTAAACTGAAATATTTAGTTAATTGGTAAATTACAGGAAAAATTGTTTAAGATTACCTCTTAATACAAACTCATCAGTTATAGAGTCGTAGAGTCATAGAGATATACAGCATGGAAACAGACCCTTTGGTCCAACTCGTCCATGCCAACCAGATATCCTATATAAATCTAATCCCATTTGCCAGTGTTTGGCCCACGTCCCTCTAAACCCTTCCTATTCAGATACCCATCCAGATGTCTTTTAAATGTTGTAATCGTACCAGCCGCCTCCACTTTCTCTGGCAGCTCATTTCATACATACATCACCCTCTGCATGAAAACGTTGACCCTTAGGTCCCTTTTATGTCTTTGCCCTGTCACCTCAAACTTGTGCCCTGTAGTTTTGGAATTCCCTACCCTGGAGAAAAGACCTTGCCTATTTACCTCATCTATGCCCCTTGTGAGTTTATAAACCTTTATAAGGTCACCCTTCAGCCTCCGATGCACCACGGAAAATAGCCCCAGCCTATTCAGCCTCTCCCTATAGCTAAAACTCTCCAACCTTGGCTACATGCTCAAGTATTTTCTGAACCCTTTCTAGTTTCACATCTTTCCTATAGGAGGTAGACCAGAATTGCACACAGTACTCCTAAAGTGGCCAAACCAATGTCTTGTACAGCCACAACATGACCTCCCAACTCCTATACTCCATGTACTG